CGGAGATATATCGGTCCCCGATTACGAGCTTCACCTCGATTAGACATTCTCCCATCTTCCATCGGTTAAGTCATAGAACGCTAGTTACCACATAGTTATGTAGATTAAGTACTTAAGTAGCGTGAGTATTAGTGTAATAGAGTAGTAAGTAGTAAAGTGTGGCGGGGTGTGTGTGTTTTGGGGCAGGTTCATCACGGCGTTCTCGCAAGGCATAGACCTGGATATGGATCTGCGCACGTTGCGTGCAATACGCGTGTTGCGACCGCTCAAACTTGTCTCCGGCATACCGAGTGAGTAGCGTTTCAATACAATCGGCCATGAAAATCCAGCCGAATCGAACGAAACGGCTTTTCTTTCATCTTTTTTTCTTTTTTTTTTTTTCTTGTCTCTCTGTCTCGTCCTTTTTGATACTTATCTTTGTCAACTGTTCTTAACGATCAAACGCGTTCATGGCAAAATTGGCATTTTTCAATTGGTCAATTCATTCTCGAATCGCAATTAGAAAGTAAATTGCAATTAAAATTCAAGTATATTATACGTTCGATTCCGTTCGGTATACGGAGCGAGCTAATTCTTTTCTTAAAGGAAGACGCGAAAACGTGAGGCTCGGTGCTCGAGGAACGCGCGTTCCAATTTCTCGCCTCTGCAATTCGGATACTTCGGAGTCGATCGGATCTGTTCTTCGATATGTTTCCATTTATTAATAGCTGCTACGTAGACCCGATTACGAGCAAAACGATGACTTAAACGTTTCAAACGTAAAGCTCGTAGATCAATTGTAGTACTAATATTATTGCAAGTATATATTTCTATATTTATATATCTACACGTAGATGCCTTGCAACGTTAGAAGGACTATTTTGTTTTACGTAGCACCACCCAAATAGATATATATATATACATATATTAAAAGTTGTATGCTGTCTTTATGTAACAAGGACGAAGTATCTCAATTGTTTAGCCACCGTGGATCCTTATATCGACAATACGAGCGCATCTTTTTGAACACAGTAGTTAAAATCATCGGGAGTGTTGATATGATCGTTTCGGGAGCTTGGAAAAAAAGAAAGAGTGTGGCACGCATGTTTTCCCCGAGCAGCGAGGAAAAATCAAAAGAGCCGCGAAATCAGTGAAAAAAAAAAAAAAAAGAGAATAAAAAGAATCGCTTGGATGGCGCGGTAGTTGGACCTAATTACTCCTGTCGAATTTTTTTTTTAAACAGGTCTCCAGGTGGTGCTCAAGTCTATTATCAAGGCAATGGCACCGCTTCTGCAGATCGGCCTGCTGGTACTTTTTGCGATCGTGATATTCGCCATCATTGGGCTCGAATTCTATTCAGGAACCCTGCATAAAACGTGTTACAGCATCCGAAATCTGAGTGAGTAATCCATGTAAAGAGAAATGTTCCTTCTCTTTTTCGTTCGGTACATTCGGGAAAACGGGAAGAGCCGAGGAGGGAGAGCAAGTACTTCCGTTCAAGTACTTATGATCGTTGTGAATGAAAAACGAAGGAAGAAAAGAAAGGAATCAATGAGGGCCGATTGGTCTGACGTTCACTCTGTTGTAGATGAAATCGTGAAGGAGGGCGATCAACCGAGCCCGTGTAACACTGACAGCATATACGAGGCGCCATATGGGGCCCACGTGTGCGACGCGAACATCTCAACGTGCATGAATCGCTGGGAGGGACCAAACTTCGGCATCACCAGCTTCGACAACATCGGATTCGCCATGCTCACTGTCTTCCAGTGCATCACTATGGAGGGGTGGACTGCCATATTGTACTGGGTAAAGCAAGAGATATGTCCTTCAGTGTTAAAAACTCTCTGTCTCTTTCTCTCTCTTTCTCTCTGTTTCCTATATATGTAAATCTCTCGCTTCCATGTTGTCGTATCATCGTATCATCGTATTCATTTTCGTTGAATTAGCGTGTATTAAACGCGTCAACATTTTTTCTATCTTCGTGTTTCTTCATTCCATGTCGAGTCGACCCTCTTTGCTCTCCTACTTGCATCCGTCGTTCGTTTTTTTTTTCTTTTTTGTTTTTCCTTTTGGCAAGATTCTCTCATTCATTTCATAATCAATATCACTCTTCAATATCATTTGTTCTACCAACAAAATCTTGGTTTCACCAAGACCGGTCGTTGCAAGTGGTTGATTAGATTCGACGAATACTTTCCAGTTTCTTTATCTAACTATCAATATATGTATGTATACTTTTCTCCAATTGCTTGCCATCGTTCACAATTTCTTATACATCTATTGAAATTTCTAAATGTGATCATAAAGTGTCATCTCCTCGTAACAGTTTTTCTGTCCTTGTCTGTGTGCCCGTGTTTAATTGTTTCTCTTCCTTTTCACTATATCTCTCTCTCTTTCTTTGTTTGCCCGATGACATCTCGCTTCCGCCTGTTTCATTCTTGTTCATCAGAATCGAAGAGAAATGCTTGCAGATGTTTTACAGCTAACACTGACCTACATGTTCACCTTGCTCAGTATAACACTGTCAGTTTCAGATTTCCCCTTTGCAAATCTTGATGTTAACTGCATTTTTTTTATAAGCTTCGTATTTTGCGCTAGCGCAAGTCGAAGAACTTCAAACCGCGTCATCTCCTCTCGATCTTGAATTTCTTCGATTTGGACCGCGCACGATGATCGATATCTTGGATCTTACGGTACGATAGAAATTCTTTGTTTTTTGACAAGTCGTACCTTTCAAATACATTTCAAATTATTACATGAGAAACTTTTTTTTTTTTATCATTGTCATCTTGAGTGTTGTATCGTAAGCTATAGTCTTGTAACTAGCAATTCGTAATCCTGCACGATCAGTGTACTAATCAATGAGTGTGTATCTTGATTTCCATCCTAATGACTTGAAAAAGTAATTGGCTTTCATGACGAGGAGGTGCTGTTTCTTCAAAGAGAAATTAACAACGAACTTAGATTCTTAAAGTGCATCCAATTTATTACCATCATCCTATAAGAGGTATATAGCCACAGTAAGTAAAAAATATCTTGGTAGAAACTATAGACAATATTTTGTTATTATATATTATGATTTGGACGTCGGTAAAGTGGTCCCCTTCGAAGGAAGTACATGTTTAACGCGCTATCTCTTGAACGAATTTGTAAGAAATAACAAATGTGGATGCACTTTTAGAGAATTAGAGATACATTTTTTTTTAAAAGAAACGTTAGTGGGGAGAGTAAGAGGGAATGTAAAGCGTTAAGTGTCTCGATGTTTATATGTCGTATGCCAATGATGTTTGGTTTCGATCATCGCGATCGATGCGCGTAACAACTGTACGGAATCGGTGACTCGCGCTCGCACACGTAACATATGGGCTTCACGTGGCTCTGGTCAAATTTTCAGACAAACGACGCTCTTGGCAGTTCGTACAACTGGATTTACTTCATACCATTGATCGTCCTTGGCTCGTTCTTCATGCTGAACTTAGTTCTTGGTGTTCTGAGCGGGTGAGTATCTTCAGTTTCGATTATTGCCATTCTTCTTCTCGTACGTTTTCTCTATGTATCTTTTGGTTTACAAACTTACGAAATTTTTTGCGAAGGCGTGACAAATCTACGGTAAAATCTGAAATATTTGCATTGCTAAATTATTGAATTATGTGGAAAATATGTGCGCGATATATGCGCGTTGAAAAGAAAGTCACGTCACGTCGAGAAGAATTCGTTCGATCGAAGTGCGAATGACCGTACATCCGGTCAGGTCGTCGCGATTCAAGCAAAAAACGGCCGATTACCTTTCTTTCTGTTCGTCAGGGAGTTTTCGAACGAAAGAACACGTGTCGAGAGGCGGGCGGCTTATCAAAAAGCAAAGAGAAAGCGTCTATTCACGACTGCGTTCAGTGCCTACTTAAAGTGGATCACTCAAGCAGGTTTCGAAACGATCGATCTCTCTTTAAATTTGTCGTGCTAGCCGTTTCAATCGCTCGGTAGACGAGCAGCAGTCAGTAGCAGTAGTAAAGCCAAAGTAACGCGTTGACGCGCCAGTAGTATATCCCTCCGATCAACGCCATATTATATCGTATTGCGCCTCACGCTTTGCGTAAACATTCCGAGTATCGTAATACCGTGTAACAATTCTTGCTAGACACGTGTGTAAATTAGAGAATACTGCAGCAACTCGGATATTTGCTGACTAAGATAATGTGTGTACGAAGAAAGAAAAAAAGAGACGAGTATTTATGTCGAAAACGATCCCTCGTTGTTTCATGTAACGTCCCTCTATCATCTTTGTAACGCTTGTAGAGAGTTTGCGAAGGAGAGAGAGAAAGTGGAGAACAGGCAGACCTTCCTGAAATTGCGAAGACAACAACAGCTCGAGCATGAATTGTACTGCTACCTGAATTGGATCTGCAAAGCAGGTTAGAAAGTCAACATGCCAACTACATCGATTAACCATCGAGCACTCTTTATAGCTAATGTCTTCTTTAGGCGAAAATCTTCTAGCTTTTGTCCTTTTTGTATCAGTAATTTTAATTTTATTTTCGCATCGTTTAATGACAAGTCGATTTTCTTTTTTTCTTTTCGTTCGACCGAGTTTGCTTTCGTCTTCTTTATACGTGTGCAAACTAAATATTCTTTATTATTTGTAGAGGAGGTAATACTCGCGGAAGAAAGGACCACGGAAGAGGAGAGGAGGCACATATTAGAAGGTTCGTGACTAGATCTCATTATGAGATCATCTCTGATCGACGAACTGGTTAGAATGTATCGAGTGACTAGAGAGAAACGTATACATATGTTTGTAGGAAGAAAACGAGCCGAGGCGAAAAGGAAGAAGCTTAACAAGGGCAAAAGCACAGACACGGAAGAAGAAGACGATCAGGACGACAGTGAGTTGTAGTTTTCCTTCTTAAACTTTTCTTTAACTTTAACGCAATCTTCTTCGATTTTTCTTCGAAGATCAAAACATCGATAATCCTTGGAATGATTCAGACTCGAATCAAAGATTTCGTTTAGTGGACAGAGTCCATGTTACGACCATCGTTTATTTATCGTTTATAATTGCGTAGGAAGCATTAACGAACGTTTACGTCGTATGGTCGTTGTCTGTTCGCATTGAAAAGAAATCGTTTGAAACATCGACTCGTTTTCTGTTTCACTTTGAAATCTTTCTCTCTTCCTCTTTCTTTCTCAACGTTATTTCCTGTCGACGCGTTTTAGATATTCATGTATACTTATATCGACATTGTCTTAATCGACACGTAATAAAACAAAGTCTGATGGTCTCACGAGTAACATTTACGTTCTTTCGATTTCCCGTCGAAATTATGTCCGTGATCGAAAAGAATGGAGAAGAAAAACCTGAGTTGGTACAAGCGAGAATTGCTCGTGGGACGATCTGGCGTTCCTTCTGATTTCTGTTTCGCATCGGATAAAGAGCGACTTTAATTCCCTCGACCACGGCGACAAACATTCTAATCACACGCTGTCAGACGCTCCTCTTGTTTCAGTGCCTAAGAAAAAACTGAAAGGTAACTACAACCAGTCAGTGTCACGATTCGCAAAGAGCAACGTAAACGAGGCTGTATTCGTAACTTCTTTTCCTATCTGTTTCCTCTGTGTTTTTTCCTTTTAATGATCCTTTCGTTTTAGGTACTTACGATACACGTAACGAATCATATCAATACTCGTAAAACATGCATATACATACATGGGTCCATGTGCTCATATACATGTACATACAGGACAATGAGATCACGATTGTTCGAAATTTCTGGGTTTCAAAATACAAAAGCATAAAACATCGTATATAAAGTATAAAACACACGCAAATTGTTTAAATGATCTGAACGGTGACACTTAATCAATTTTACAATGAAACGTACTTTGTACGTTGACACCAAGTAATTGTCATATGACTGAAGTTTTTTTATACTAGGTATATAGGTATACTAGGTAGGCTATCGTTCGAGTAGTATGGACATGGATGGATTTCTTATGAAAAAATAGTATTAAAGAATTTGTATTTGCTGAAAATCATACAAACAGTGAATAATTGAAAGAAAGCATATAATCAAGTACGGACACAACATATTGACATTTGTTCATGTTATATTATGATTCAACGAATGATAGTTTGTTTGAGACGAAATCGACATTTTCAGCAATTTTTCCATTAGGATAAGTTCCACTTCCATTAACATGTAGTATTAAACAATATTGTCGAAACATGAACGTATAGTGTGATCTACTAGTGTGATAACAGCACTCTTTTCAAACCTAAATCTTTCGTGAAAGAAATATCAAATGGAAAATCATTACTCTAGATTTTTTCGATTAATTTTTAAGGAATCTACTTATGTCCAGCCGCACTACCTAACTCGATTCATCCTGTATAAAGTGCAAGCAGTTCACGCGTTACCGTAGATTATCGTAATTGCGAAAAAATCCAAATATATTTAGTAACAGGATCGGAAATGTCGCTGCAGATCATTTGAATCGATTTCCAGTCGTCTTTGAAATTCCAAATGCCCAATTACGATACACGAAATTCTCAATACCCAGAAATTGCGGTGAATCGAGGTGTCAATTTGTTTTATCTCCTTTTTTTTTCTAGGAATTGCTTCTGTTGGCTGGCGTGGTTATGTATTCTTATATTTATGTATATTTATTTACTAGTCGTGGACATTCCCGAAAATCGTGAACTTTTTTTCACTCATTTCATTCATTTATGACATCTTCTGTGTCATTGATATTGATAAAGAGTTTTAGAAAATCGCCAATGTCCTAGATAAATATGTATCCATGATCCAAATATGTCCGGCAATGGAGGAATACTAATGTTTTTAGTAGTGTACGACGAGAAATCTGTTTGTCGAAATAGAGCGCCGCAAATAGAAAGAGAAAATGATTAAGTGGTGTAGCATTCGACGTTTAGTCATACATAGATGAGCTTCATCGGTATCAGAATAGATAGAAACACTCGCTTGTTAGAGTATAGAATAGATGTATCTCTGTTCATTGTGTATCTGTGTATTAAGTAATTGAACAAGGTAAACGGATTTTCAAGTCGAACCTGGGAAAACCTATTGGTAACAAAAGTCATATAGAAGAAACTTTCTCGAATCAGATCTCGATGTCGGATAACTCAGCATTTTCCAACGTTATGTTTGTTCTGGGAAATAATTTATTGTATATTATCAAAGAAAACGTTGGCACATACTAACAAGTTAGAATACGATTACGTGAATATATTCATTGAAAAAATTCGATTGTTTTGGAGGGGGGGAAAAAAAAATATTGTGACGAAGAAAATCAATCGATTGACATCGGAACGATACTAACATTCTAAACATTCTAAACAGATTTCTGGTCATTAAAACGAACGATTTGTTGTTTACAGGATTTTCGAAATCCTCCTCGACGAAAGAAAAGGGACCTTGTAAACGGTTTTGGATAGCTGAGAGAAGATTTAGATTCTGGCTACGGAAGGCTATAAAATCACAACAGTTTTACTGGTTCGTCATCATTCTTGTGTTCTTCAATACCGTCTGCCTAGCGGTCGAACATCACGGTCAACCACAATGGCTGACCAATTTCCTCTGTAAGTAAACGATTTGAGCAGATGTACAGGGTAATCTTATATATATGTCGTATAGTTAACTCAACGACAATGCTTTGTCGAACGAAGTTGTCCATCGACAAGAAACTCTTGATGAGAAAAGACCGATATTAACGCTTGATCACTAGTTCGTGAATGTTTATGCATTGAAATTAGAAATTTAGAAATGCAAAATTACATAGAATATATAATATAATTTGCAACGATGAATAAAATATTCCAAGTAGATTTCGTAACTTTCATAGTAATCCATAAAAATATAAATTTACATAAATATTTGTACACTGTACACCGTACACTGTATTTGTACATTGTATACCGACACGAATATATCATCATGATATATACTGCATGCCAAAAATGCAAAAATTGTACAATTTTTTTATTTGCAAACAAATAAATTTTTAACTCGTTTCTCGTAACGAATTCTATAGCTAAATAGTTAATATAATTAACATAAATCATATCTTTTATTTTGTAACTAAATTTTAATTAGCTCAAAAAAACCTACATTACTTGCAGATTTGTGCAACATGAATTTCTAGGCAAATTGTAATTTCTTTAGCGAGCACTGTAAGTGCTGAAGTTATAGCATTTGAGTTAATCAATGAGAGGATTATTCTGTATAAAAAGCAATCATTTGTTTCTTGAATTTGAGAATGGTATTAAAACGGATGGCACGGGTGTTGACAGATTACGCAGAATTCGTGTTCCTGGGTATGTTCATGTTCGAGATGATAATAAAGCTGTACGCCCTTGGTCCTCGCGCATATTTCAACTCGAGCTTCAATCGTTTCGACTGCGCAGTCGTCTCGGCATCTATCTTCGAAGTAATCTGGTCCGAGCTGAAGTCTGGGTCTTTCGGCCTCTCCGTCCTACGTGCCCTTAGACTCCTGCGAATTTTTAAGGTCACCAAATATTGGACGAGCCTAAGAAACCTCGTAATATCGCTGCTCAGCTCGATGCGTAGCATCATCTCCCTGCTCTTCTTGCTCTTCCTCTTCATTCTCATATTCGCGCTACTCGGTATGCAGTTGTTTGGTGGCCAGTTCAACTTCGAAAATGGCACGCCGTCCACTAACTTCAACACCTTTCCCATCGCGCTGCTCACTGTCTTCCAAGTAAGTTTCATTCCATGCTCGTCGTATCCTGTCAATCGGAAGGAAAGAGTACATGCAACATAGTCTTTTCTTCGAACTGCAATGTTTAGACGAAAGTAGTTTGGCAAATAGAAGAAATAGACACACATGTTGTTGATTTATTTTACAATATAATTGAATATAATTTAACTGATCCTGGCAGATCCTGACCGGAGAAGATTGGAACGAAGTAATGTATCAAGGTATAGAGTCGCAAGGCGGATCCAAGAAGGGCATGATTTACTCGCTCTACTTCATTGTGTTGGTGCTGTTTGGCAACTACACTCTGTTGAACGTGTTCTTGGCTATCGCCGTCGACAATCTGGCAAACGCACAGGAGCTGAGCGCTGCCGAGGAGCTGAAGAGAATAAAAAATAAACAGAAGCGGAGAAATGGGCTCGAAAGAGACTCCTTGCAGGATTCCGACAGTGACTCTGATGAAGACTCCCCAGGCTCGTAAGTTTTCTGTTACATCTATCCTATTTTTTTTTTTTTTTTTTCTTTTAACTCTCCTCAAACAGTGTACGTCGAATGTAATTATCTGTGGATTTCAGAAACGGAAAAAGAAAAAAATCCAGAAAAAGAAGAAGGAATGAAAACGATGACATACGAGGACCGAAACCAATGCTACCGTACTACTCCTTGTTCATACTGTCCCCTACAAATCCGTAAGATAATCTCAGTCGATAATATTTGTATAATAGGTATATAAAATATGAGATTTGAAGTGATAAAATGTATTTGATTGTAGCGTAAGAAGAGCCGCCCATTGGATCGTCAACCTGAAATATTTCGATTTCTTCATAATGATAGTGATATCGATGTCGAGTATTGCATTGGCCGCCGAAGATCCCGTGTGGGAGGACTCACCGAGGAACGAGATTCTGAATTACTTCGATTATGCGTTCACCGGTGTTTTCACCATCGAGATGATACTGAAGATCATTGATCTTGGGATTATTCTTCACCCGGGCTCGTATTTGCGCGACTTCTGGAACATCATGGATGCAGTGGTTGTCATATGCGCCGCTGTTTCTTTCGCTTTCGATATGAGTGGCAGTTCGGCTGGACAAAATCTCTCGACAATCAAGTCGTTGAGAGTCCTTCGAGTGCTCAGACCATTAAAAACGATCAAAAGAGTACCGAAGCTCAAGGCGGTGTTTGATTGCGTAGTCAACAGTCTTAAAAATGTCATCAATATTCTCATCGTATATATATTGTTCCAATTCATATTCGCTGTGATCGCGGTACAACTGTTCAATGGCAAGTTCTTCTTCTGCACCGATGAGAGCAAATATACGAAACAGGAATGCAAGTGAGTATTCGAATCTTTTTTTTTTCTTAGTAGCGAAACTGATCGACAAACATTGAAGCATATAAG